GCGTGGACAGTGCAAAGACCTCAGCCAGCAGGTGAGTGCGCAGCAGGTGAAAGTTGAGCTCATGCAAATTAAATTCTGCACTTCTCACAAAGGTTTTTGCCAACAACCAGTCATAGTGATGATCAGTAGGAAGGAAGATTGGGTTGTCTGGTCCTGGCTCCTGCTTCAGCTATAAAATAATAAGGCAGTGTAAGGGGTTAATTCATGCTTGGAATGAAAGTCGTTAGTGATTATTGCACACAAAAAAGACTTGGAAGTTTAAATCATTATTTATTGTATTTCTATGTTATGGTGTCTTGGACTGTTTTGGTTTTAATTTGAAGAGTTGATATTTAGTCACTTTAAGTGTTTTAAATTGCATTGGCATTTGCCCTCCTTTATTTAAGATATGTATAATATTTTAGAAGCTTTTCTTCCTGTTAGAGTCAACGATCAGTAAAGAATAAGCGAGAAGACAGTTGATGTCATGAAGAGAAAACCGTTTTTCTGAAATGTTTATCTGGCTAAATTTATGTATTCCTTATTTTGTTCAAGTATGTGATCAAGCTTTTTTGTGCAGGCGGTGGGTTTAGTTTGATGGGAGAGAGAGAGAAAGAGTGCTGGGATTTCTGAAGATTATAAATGTATGTGCTTCGGATGGTTAAGTCAGAGCTTTTATATACCCTCCGTGTCATTAAGGACGTTAAATAAATTTGAATGTTATCTCCTGCAAGAAATGCTTCCACTCAGTTTCCTAACTTCACAGTATTTATGGTATCTGACAAAAACATTTTTTCATAGTTAAAATAATGCGAATCCTTACCAGTAATATTAGGAATATGGAGATCTGAAATTAATTTCTTGAATGGTAGTAGATCAATGTTAGCCTGACGTAGTCCGACTCAGTTCTAGTCAGAATATGAGTCTGATACTGCTCCATAGAGCTGTGATTATGGGGCGTGTTTTGAACGGACCAGGAAATAAAATGCCTCTGCACTCAATTGGATAGACCTACAACCAATAAGAGCAACGGAGTGCGTGACGTATGTTAAGCGAGGCATAGTTGT